TTTGCCCACTTTGTCGCCTCGTGATTAATTGGTCGATATCATTCTACTCTCTCTCTCTCTCTCTCTCTCACACACACACACACACACACACTTCCGTTTTGCCCACTTTGTCGCCTCGTTGTCCGTTGGATACTTCCTTAATGTGAAATTATTCGATTATCTTTCACTTTTTATGTTATAAAAACTTTTCAGCCAGTTTCGTTTGTTTCGGCATTTTTTTCGCGGCTACACATAAATTAGAGTTCGTTAGACAAAAGTTTACAGGACAATTTTTTTATCGATACGGAATACGCATATCGCACTGAAACATGATTAGCAACATGATACACGTTCTGTCGGCATATTAAACGTCGCAATCTTATTTCATTAGGGCTAAAGAATATGTATTGCAAATTCAGTAGAAATTACTTAGAAAACAAGAGCGATGCGTTCATTGACGACACCTTGCCAGGTGATTGAAATAGACGCGATATCCGGAAAATTACGATAATCAAACTCACTTTGATCGTCCGGTTACACTTTTTACAAAAATTATCGTCCCCACACACGATAGGAACAATATAGCGGGTGACAAATCGAAAATGAACATCTCAAAGAAACCTATCGCATACGTAACTATACTTTCTCATACAAAAAATCGAACATCGTTATGGAAATTATGAAATTATAAATTCCTCTAATTTGAGAAACATATAAGTAAAAATGTTGTAGAAAAAAAAAGGTACATTGTCACTGAAAAATTGTATTTCGAACCTGTTACGCGAGACTTTTGTTTCCAGAAGTAACGTACTTCGCAGAAGAATCTATTTAAGTCCTACGGTGTTCATAATGGAAGATAATTAAAAAAATAAATGGAGTGTTCAGCTCCGCTGAGTCACCCTGTGCTTGTCATTTACGATGACACCTTCTTTGGTTATTCCAATGTACGTTTGTCCGAACGTCCGTATTCTTCGGATGACATATCATGCGTAGAAAATTAATATCGTTCATGAATATCCGAAAAAGACTGCCTGTACAAGAGAGAAGCAGTTAAAATCACTGAATCCATAGCGCTCACCTTAGCCTTCATTAAGATACGGCTTCCTCATCGGCAAGATTATGAAGGTCCGAATAATTTACAATAGCCCGATGTAGAAATTCGTACTGAGCCTGCAACAACAGATAGCAACGTAAAATTCGAAACCGTCGTTGGTCCAATAGAAAAAAAAAAGAACGTGATTAAACGACACTGATTCTTATTACTTACAAAGCTATTGATCATCCCGTGTCGCTGCGACCTCAGCTTTTTCGTCGTGGTAAAAATATCAACTCGTTTCTCGGTCCTCAACTGTTGAATCAGAATACTAAGCGCGACGAACATAGAACTTCTGTCTGAACCACAATTGCAGTGAACTATCAGAGGTCCACTGGTCTCGTTGTCGGTGGCTAATGTCTGATCTACAAGTTCAATTAGACCTCGCGTTACTTCCGGCACCTCGCCCTCCACCGTCGGCCATCCGTGATACTGATACTGAGTAACAACTATACTCTCGTCGGTCTTGGTATTCGATACACAGAGTTCTCGACGTGTGTAGTAAGGACAGCTTTCGCTCTGGATGTATCGGACTTTCACGTGGTCGTAGACGGACTCATCGTCGGGCCAGTAACGTGGACATTTTCGTGGCCCATCGCTTAACTGTAATTATAAATGAAAAATTATAATTTGGAGGCAATAGTTAAACTGACGTTGTACATTGAACAACGATGTACTTACGTCCGACAACATGACTATGGTCGAGACACATTGCTCTAGGATCATTCGCCAGAAGTCTGCTATGGTTGTGTCTAATGGGTCCTGCGTGATGACGAATGACTCGGAATTATCATAACCTTCTATAAACGAGGCATTTATGTATGTCGAGTGCTCTCTGCCAGGAACTGGTGTAAGGATCACGCGATTTCTGTCATATGGTATCACCAGTTCGCTCCTATTCTTAAGTCTATTTTCATCGCCGCCACCCACGGAAAAGGACTTCCGATCCTCCAATACCGAACTAATTCTCTACAAAAAGAGGAATGTAGTTATATATGATTGTAGAAAAATTTTAAGCTGAGCTTGTATTATTTGTAATTAAAGTTTTATTTTATACTTACGTCGTACTCCTCTTCCATTCTACATTTCTCCTTTCCATTGTCTCTTTGTCTCAGTCGTTCAACAGTTTCTTTCAATTGATGCACCGGAATCTCCGTATCGCCATACTGTGCCATTTCCATTAAAGCGCGATAAATAAATATGTATTGCTTCAGAGATTGCACCAGGAAATTACGTTGGTGTCTGAGGTCACAGACAGTATTGAAAATGGAGACTTGACCCTCTTCAGCCAACTGCTGTAGCAAGGAATCCAGAGCTACTAGAGTGCCGGTTCTACCGACACCTGCGCTACAATGTACCAGTATAGGACCCTTCTCCAGGGAATAGGCCTCATTCACCCTCTTAATAAATCGCAGAATAGCATGAGGATGTTCGGGGGCAATGAAATCCTTCCACACCAAAAAGTGATACTGGATTATGGTGCGAGAGTCTCTCTCACCGGTGCGTGTCATCTTCAGTTCGCGCACTACGTAATCCGAGTAAGGCCTCTCTCTAACATGTTCAACGGTAATGTCTCCAAAGCTGTTGGTCTCACCCTTGTCGGGCCAGTATTTCGCGCACTTCGTCTTGGAGTATTCTTCTAAGTTAGTAAGCATCAGGACCAACTCTAGGTGCTGCTCCCAAATCATCCGCCAATAGTCGCATACGGTATTCTCCATGGGTCCCTGGGCACATATAAATTTCTTGCGCTCTTTATAGCCAAGAACGAAGTTCGCATTGATGTAATCTGAACCGCAGATCCCGTCTATCTGCGCCAGTCGCACTCTTGTTTGATCGTAACACTTAATATCTGGGTAACGATTTTTATAGAGATTTTCTCGAGCCTCCGAAGCTCTTGTTGTCCTGTCTGCAAATCTGTCTGGCAACAATTCGAATTCTTGTTGAAATCCATAATCCGAGTCTCGGTGTCTCTCGATGTACGACTGTAGAAGGTCGGATTTCTGTATAGGCGTCATATCCGGAGGACTTACTGTCACTAGCTGATGTCTACCCCTGAGACTCCTGCAGAGATGCCTGCCGGAAAATGGCATCCATTAAAATTCCAGCAATTATCATGTGAAATATAAATATCACAAAAGTTGTCTGTATCGTTAGTGGTGAATTTGTTGAATGAAAATACCATATGGCTTTGAAAATTGTATTGTCACTCACCTAAAACTGTTCCTCAGTGTAATGATTTCCTCGCCTCTTTGTTGCGCGCGTTTTGTGTATCTGTACAGTACACAAAGTGCAATAAGAAGAATAACGATAACTAATATCAAAACTATGAATATTTGCATTATCACGCTGAACATAGTCAATTCTTCTACTACAGTGTCTTCCGAATCGAATCCGCCGAAAAGCGGATTGAAGTAACTACTATAAGCCGCTAACAACTGACCTTCCTCTTGGCCAAAAACTGAAACAAAAATTAATGGAAGCAATAAAATTTCCACATCCGTCAATAACATTAATATTATTGGTACGCACCGATAACTTCAATAAATCCAGTATAATTATATCCCTCGGCTAGAAAACCGTCCTGCGGAGAGTAAGGCGACAATTCTTCAACCGGTACCATGTTTGGCACTGATGCATCTTCTCTTCTCCTTCGTGCGACACTACCAGTTGTACCTTCGTCGTTAACAGTCGTAGGTGTCGCAAAAGTCGTCGTTGTCATAGTTGCTGTTAAAGGTCCTGAGGAACCTGGCTGAGACGGTAGTACCGTTCCAGCTGTAGTTGCTGTCGCTGTCGCCGCTGTTGTAGTATCCGTCACCGTCGTAGCGATAGTACTCAGTGGTACCGGCATGGTAGATGGCGTCGCTACGGTAGCGCCGGTGGGAACTGTTCCATTGTTCACAAAAGTTGGTAGTGGCATCTCAGGTACCAAATTCAATGAAGGCGGCAACGCTCTGGGTCTCAGTCCAATGCATCTGTCGCAAGCACTGCTTGTATTAGCAGACTCTCCATCGCCAAGAATAATTTCTGATACCAGACGATCACTGTCGAAAGCTTCAGCAATGTAAGCGGCACTAGATTCGGTCGCGTGCGCGTACCGATAAGAATAAACATCAATTTTCTCAGGCGATGGTAAATCCGCCACTGTACTCTGCTGTGCTAATTTTACCATAAATATTCTATAGCAACAAATTGGACCGTTCCTCTCTGAGATTCTTGGTAAATACAATTTAAAGAAATGCTTTCCCTCACTCTCGACTTTGCGCCACGTGCGCATATTTAAGCTATCCTTGTCGGGTATTGTAACAGGCATTGTACAATTGCCCGTAGAATCTTTTCCGGGTGTGCGTTGTCTCGTCATGGCATATATTCGAGCCTTGAAATAATGCGGGACAATGTTTAATGTGGAAATTCCCATGAAGTAAAGAATTTTGTAATTCCACGATAAGAATAAAAAGGAAATGAAATCTTTACCGTGTAGTTTGTGTTCGAGGGCACCTTATCAAAAGTTTTGCCGAACAGCTCCGGCTTAACATTTCCGCCTTGTCGAGTCCATCGATCAATATCGAGACGCCCCATGTCATTTCTATAATGTGCGATACCATGCAGTTCGATTTCGTATCGCGTAATGACACCATTTGGTCTGGCTGGCGGTGCCCATGTTACAGAGACGAAACCGGTATTGCTTATGTTATCAAAACGACATGTAACCGACAAATTTTGTGGAGCACTAGCAGCTGCGAATGAAATACAATGTTATGTGCCGCAAGGAAAGAATCCAGACACCAAGATTCCTTTTCAAGTTTCACATTTTTGTTCTTTCGTACCTCCATCCAGAGTGGTTCCATTCACTTCCTTACTCCAGTTTCCACATTTCCTCGTGTATTCGCTACACGCCGATATTTTGAACTTATAGGTCGTTGCTGGTTCGAGATCCGGAAATGCGTAAAGCTCGCGCGTTTGCGCAAGATATACCGTTTCTCTCTTCTGATCGCCATAAGTTGCCATTAAATTGTAATAGTGGACGTGTTCCTGTAAATCTGGAGGCGGCGGCGCCCAAGCAATGGTGATGGAATTAACGGTAACACCGTTAACATGAACCGTGGGAACAAATACTGGATCTATAAATAATAGAGACAACAATATTACATAAATTTAGGACAGAAAATTAAAGTACTCCTATTATAATTGCGTTTTACTACCTTTCTCAAGAGTCCTGATCCATTGTGGACTAATTCCAGAGTGAGAGTCGCCAATCTCATTGGTAGCTCTGATTCCAATCTGATAAGCCGTGGATTTCTCGAAACCCTTCAAAACGTAACTCAAATTGCCACCGCCTATTTGCTCAGGATAATATTGCCACTGATTGGTTCCGTTTTTCATGTGCCGTATGAAGTACTTCTTTATCGGTTTGTTCCCGTCGTTTACCGTCCAATTCAAATAAATGCTCCCAGCGCCCACCGCTTTTATAAAATCGATATTCACTTGCGGCACGTCGATCACAAAGAGATGCCTGTAACCGCTTACCGGACCGTTATAATCGTACGCCCTGCACTCATAAGTCCCGTTGTCCTTACGTGTCAGACTCTTGAATTCCAGCGTCAACGCAACGTCATTCTCACTCACGTTCGCGACAGACATCAGGTCCGTCAAGTGTTCGTTATTGTCATCGTCATTCTTGGACCAGCTGAAATTTGACAGAGGATAGCCATGAAAGTGGCACGTTAACGTAGCTGCAGTCTCTACTCGGGCGCTTGTGTTTTCACCGGTGTCAACTTTCCCGGGTTCTGAAACAAGCAAGGAACATTAGCGTCTTACAGTAAACAGGCCATTTTTCAGAATTTACATTTATAAAGGTAACTGAATAGGATTAGAGAGAGAGAGTTCGACCTCAGTGTCTTTCACACTTTATGGAAATTCAGGTATCGTATCTACTGATTATTGTACGCGTGTTCGAATGCATTTGAATAGAAAATGGTCCCGGCTACCGCCAAATTGTATTTAGATATTTAAGCAACGAGTCACGGCTGCAGCAGAACGTCCCACGCAACGTTTCGGATTATCTGTAGATGATGTAACGCATTTGCGACGTCCGAGTACTCCTCCTCTGTTCCCAGTGCATAAATTAGAATGACCGAATTCAGCGAAACCGCGTGGTATCGTTTCACGCGCCAATTCAACGGTCTTCTGACGCAAAAGGAGGAAACAAAAGTTTCCAAGGTTTCACATTGTACAAACAGTGTAGTAGCAGCACCTCGACTTATTGACCCGTTTAACAGCTACTTGCATCGTTTTTTCTTCCACTCCCCACGTGTTAACGTATGCCGACTTATAAAATGATACTGGCATGCCCTTTGATTTCTCTTAATTACCGCATCCGTCCTTCCCAGATCAATGTCCTTCTGTCGTTAACGTCACCTCGTTCTCATCTTAACACGTATATGACGTAGCATTAATGTAAACCTATATTTATTGTCACGGTAAACATTCTAATTCTATTGATTTAATATTTTCAACAAGTGCTCCGAATGTCGCCCATCTGACTGCCGACACGTGTCGAAGTATGTACATACATATACATATTGATGCATAACATTTCAGCCATTCAACAGCATATCAGAAGGAAGTGCTGGGACGCCGCAGCTACGAAGTACCGAACGACAGAAAGATAACATTTCTTGAAGAACGCAAATGCTTAATTTAAAAACACTGACGTGATACTGCTTTGAAAAACTAATCTATCACATTTAAATTCTTTTCACAATGACAAAGCTGTCTCGTTTAAAGGAAAAGACAATAAGTTTTCGTAAATCTGGCAAAAACATGAGAGAGATATATATAATGTGAAACAGAGAAGCAAAGGAATGACAGTAATCTTGACCTTTTTTTCGACGATGAAACTCTCAAATTTCGTCAAAGGAATCGACATCTTATAACGCATAAATAGGGTCTCAACGATTCAACATTTTTAAGAAACATATATGTATACTGTACTACGTATCATATGCGTTATCATCTTTTCTATGCATTTCTTGTTGTCACAGTAGATAGAGCGAATCGTTACACGTTGCTCTAGTTGAACATTTAATTGTCTACGTTTAAGGTCACATTCTTTAGGATTAACGTTATGACTCATCCGAACAAGAATCGTTTTATAAATACGTAATTTATGACGCGAAGAAGTCATTATTGGTCATCAAAAATGTAACGATGCCTTTCGTAAATAAATATTCAATTTATTTACAATTTTCCAAGTAGCATCATTGTTCAATGAATTTCTCCGTCACTGACAGATCAATGAGCCGAAGTCACTTGCGGTTCTTATCATCAAAAATTACGCGAACATTATTATTGTTCATGACTTTGGATTCAGGCTTAATTCAACCGCCCATCCGGGCAATTGAAAACCTCTGTAAATTGTTTGTATTACCGGCGATTGTATGCAACAATGGTCAAAGGGGGCCAAAGGTTACATATCCCTCGACTTCCTCAATATTTTGATACGTGTGTATAAATGATTTTCAATCAGTGACATAAGCATGTATAATCGAAGAAAGTGAAAGACACCGCATCACTTTCAATCGTGTGATGGAATAAATAAACGACTTGTCATGGTTCGATGCTCTTCATCTAAACAATAGAAGGAATCACGTTAAATTCACAGAGAACTTTAGCTTATGGACCCACTACTATGATTGATCTTGAGGATTAAACATGGAGCGCAGAACGTGGACGTCCTTCATGGAGGCTTACTGATTTTCAATTTTCAAAGTTAAATTACCACTACAGATAGGTGGTAAGTACAATTATGCTTCAGGCGTTTCCATTACGGAATATCCAGTTGATAATTTTCTAGGGAATATCTTGTTTAAATTGAAATTAAGTAAACCGCAAGTAACAACGAAATTTGACTCACCTATAACACGTATGTTAATAGACTTTTGAAGATATAATCCTTTAGCAGTTTGAGCCATGCAGATATACTCTCCAGTGTCATTTCTACTGGCCTTTCGAATATCCAAACGTCCTCCCAAGTCAGAATCCTTTATTGTAGTCAGATTTTTCCCATTCGCTGTCCACCAAACTCTTCCCGGTTCGCTCAGTTTGCATGTCAAGGAAGGCGTACTTCCTGCCTCAATACCTTGAGAGTCCTGCGACGAAGAGATCTCCAGAGAAACCTCCTTCTGCGTTTTCAATTCCTGATCGTTGACGGATTTTGTGACTACAAGAAAAAGGCACATAGCGTATTACATCTGCAAATTATTTATAACGAAAACAATTATTCAAAGTGAATATTAACGTAAAGTAACGTCAAATAAATTTGAAGTTTACACCAAAACAGCATTACTCGCAATATTCGAATACTTTGCCGATACAAAACGTAGAGCAGTTCTAGTACTTGAAAAGTTTATTTATTACTTATAAAAACAGACTCTATGGTATAGCATTCCTAAAAAATAATTTTGATAATTAATTTAAAGGTGCTTTAACTAAATCATGTATGCTTTACGACATTTATGTACGTACGAATAAAACAGGACATAGTAGTAAACCTGTTTCGTGTTATATCTGTCAAGTACACGCACCAAAATAGAGATATGACGATTTTCTCGGTAGCTACAGTGGATCTTGGAACATAGCCATAGATTTGACTGAAGTGTTAGCTTTGTTTTTTAAGAACCCCAGATATCGAAAATGATTACAACAGCCTTTAAGAATTATACTATCGTGAGTGTGTTATTACAATCATGAACTAATGTCAATCATTCACAATTATCAGAATTGGATTGATATCCTTGATATACTTGACAATGTTTACTGATTTAGTATTTCTGAGAACTCAGAGAGGTTCAACCTTATTCTTCTTGTCTACTTACCACTCTTAAATAAACAAGAATTGGTATTTAAAGAGAATTTGAATGGGATAATCATGATAGTATAGACGGATGCTACTCACATATATACATACATATGTTAATACATAAATTATAGTGAATAATTTAACCCATATTTCTATTATATTCTACAAAATTTTTATTGAGTAAATAATATAATAAACAGTTGAATGTTATTAAACAAATTAATTGTGACAATACATTAATTAAAGAATATGACTATAAACAAATATTTTGTTTCTTGCCCATTACTTGTGATGTTCTCATTTCATAATTTTACATCATATAGGGCAAAATTTGTTTTAGCACAGTATTAAAATACAAATTCTAAATTAGTTTATACAATCCATAAAACACTGTCTATTGTACACTATCAATACTGTCTGCATGCCAGAATAATTTTTGGAATAACTTATCTACCTAGATTTTGTTTCTGCATAAATATGAATTATAAGCATTAATTATGTTTACACATTGAAACATTAATTAAATAATTACATAAGTAACCAATATACAGTTTAGATGCAGATTATGATGCTTTTGTTTATTGTAACTGGATTCTTTTCATGAAGGTAGATATTACATACAATAATAATAGACAAAACAATGTACAGTGTCAACCCTAAACAAGTATCTGTTTCACAAACATGGAATGTTTGTATAGAAAGTGAAAAAAAGAGAAAATAGTTATAAACAGAAAATATTGATAATAGATAATTAGCATGGACATTTTGACTTTAAAGAGAATAATTTAATTTGTTAAATTATTACAAACACTTGCAACATATACAATAAAAAAAAAAACATTGTTTTTTGGATTCAATGACAATGATGAAAAACAGATTTTTTTGGTCTGAAACATTTAAAATACATCCCTGTATTTGACAGTTCGACATACGAAGGTAAAGATCATCAATATCTCCTGCGACCGGCTAATATTGTACTATGAAATGAGGGAACGAATTCCCATACATAAACATAAACATACAAACCCTCAGTGATAAAAAGTGATAATATTAATGATTTCGTGTAAATAATAATTTCAACGACACCGATACGCCGAAAACGCCGGCGACTGGACATTCTACCAGACAATCCGCAATGTCTGCTAGTCCGTTAAAAAGCCAAAGAACTCGAGGATTATATATTGTCGCTTATTCCTACGGGTTCCCGGCAAAGTGTCGAACACTCACCGGCATCATCCACGCTCGCTGAAACGAGTACAATACAACACAGTATTGATGAACTGATACTCGTGATCGGTCCTCGGCTTCGTAACATGGCGTCGTGACAGCCAGGGTATGAGCTATCTGTGACAGTAGTCTTCCTGTTCCTCTTCCGTTCTTCTGTCCAACACACGATCTTAATCGGAATTGTAAACCACCCAAGACATGCTTCCAAAACTTTAATACGCGATATCGCAGGATTACGTCCACCCTCTTACTATCAACGTCCCATTCGCACCGCACTCGTCACATTCGCTATACAACGTAATCTACTCACAACTTTTGTAATGCACTACTCGCAGCTACTACACCTCCACTCGAGTACTCGGACACAAGCGCGTTCTAGCCGAATCCCTAATGTGCCTCAATTGTATTATGAAAATGTAATATAGAAAGAGCCGTCGTGACGAGTCTACGCCACCGCGCCCGAACAATTATTGCAGCGCACTCTGCCGACGGAAGCCCGAATGATCCTCCGCAGCAACTACAAATCTCTTGCTCGATTGGTGGCGACGTTGCCTCACTTTTACACATCTTTTTCCTTTCGATTCTCTAACATTTTTTATGATCACAGCGAACTTGTAAGGGTGCCGATATTTATTCCTTTTGGAGTAAGGTTCAATTCGTACGGAAAATAAACATGCTTCTTGTATGCTATAATATTAAATAATTGTTTAATTATGTATGGATTTATTACCTGTGTATGAATAATTATGTTTTGCTGGTAAAGAATATTTCTAAATTTCATACTGTTCAGCAATGCAATTGAAGCTGACTTGATATTGAAAATATAGCAGGTGGTTGTAATAGCAGTCAAAAGCACTTTTGTACTGTTCCTTTACCATTGTATTACAACAAATGTTGCATACTATGAATGTTGAAAAATATTTATACAATACAATTTTTTTGCCAGTGGCCGCAACAAACTTTTTGCGCGTGGCTGCATTGGAACTGCAACAATTACATCCTTTTTTGAATGATCTCGTGAAAATCTAAAGGAATTTTATTGGTTTAATGTTTTTGACCATTTAAACTTTTGTGAAGCAGGCGCACATTTTTTCTTCAATACATAAAACCACACTGAATCTTACATCTAAATCTCGAAGCTTCATACACTAATAACATTCCGATCTTGTTCCATCTTGAAAGAATACACCAAACTTTTGCAGATAGAGGATGGATGATGAATGTTATTATATTTATTAGATGAAAATACACTTGTTTACGCTACTTGCAACCTTGAGAACAAATAGGGCGATGATGTTGTACCGTCAAATTAGGTATTTAACCATTTTACAAAGTGAGTCTGGTTTTCTGTCGTCTGTGACTCCATTATCAATTCCGTCTGATTGATTAGTCATAGAGTCGACGTCGTTGCACTTTGCTGTCGATCAAAACATTGGGATAATTATAAGTGTAGGATGATTATAAACATACCATTCGCTTAATCATTACGTGCTTTTAGTACAGAAATGCATTGATAAAGTAGTTAGTCATCGGCCATGTTTATTTCTCATGCCAAAATCTGTTAATTGAAGGAACAAGAAGACCTAAAATAAGATGCATTCGCTGGTAGTGCAAGTTCGAATCTTTCTTCAGATGCAGTGAGGTGCCAGGCGTACGCGTTCGCTGTGATGCCTGACAAAAACGATGAAGGATAAAATGCCACCATTCCGCAGAAAAAAATCCGGAAAATCTTTCCCTGTGAAAGTTTGTACTTTAGACGCGGAGCTAGAGTTCAATTTGGAGGTTAGATTCTAGAATCTGTCATTGAAAGAATCAGTGTCAATTTTAGAAACAAGCGCTATTTAATATTGTCCATTGAGTGTCTCAGATACAAGTGATATCTATTTTAGTGGAGAGCTACTGGAAGGGATCTCTTTGATCTGGTATGCCGTACAATTGGGCTTCGAGAAACTTGGTACTTTGGACTTCAATACGAAGATGCAAAAGGATTCATCTCATGGCTGAAACTTGATAAGAAAGGTGAAATTTAAAAAAATATCTACTCCCTAATGCATTGTTAATGCATTGGCTGGCCATGTTTTGCAAGATATAAACAGGAGGACAACAATCCATAAACATATTTTTTTTTAATACAATCATTTGAGGACACAATAGTTGAACAAGAATCATACTAATATAATATATAACAACACTGAATTGAATTTAGTTCAAGATCAGAGCATTTCCTTACAACCAACGACACCGTTCATGTTCCTGGCCAAGTTTTATCCAGAAGATGTTGCAGAAGAATTGGTTCAAGAAGTTACACAACATTTGTTTTTTCTCCAAGTAAAACAAGCTATTCTTTCAATGGACATTTACTGTCCTCCGGAAGCTTCTGTTTTGCTTGCATCATATGCAGTTCAAGCAAAGGTAATTTATTGCTAATACAACATGTTACCATTTTCTTTTCTTTTTACAAGAAGCTCCTTTAGTTTTATTTTATCGCTCGTTTTTGTTTCGTTTAAATTGTACACAAATATTATATGTATATCTGTGATATGTTTGACTTATAATGAAAAATGTATACTATTTTAATGTAGTATGGTGACTACGACGAGGTTTCTTACCGTCCAGGCATGCTAGCTAGTGAAGATCTGCTACCACAAAGAGTTATAGACCAGTATCAAATGACGCCAGAAATGTGGGAAGATCGAATAAAAATCTGGTACGCCGATCATCGCGGAATGTCGCGTGATGAAGCTGAGATGGAGTATCTTAAAATTGCTCAAGATCTCGACATGTACGGTGTCAATTATTTTCCCATCAGCGTAAGTATTATCCCTATATGTATACACATGACAGAATCTTCTACGTTTACGAGAATCTGAATGTAAGATAATCTCCTTGGATTTTTAGAACAAGAAGGAGACAGATCTATGGCTCGGAGTGACAGCACTCGGATTGAACATATACGAGAAGGAGAATAAGTTGGCGCCAAAAACGACATTTACGTGGTCCGAAATTCGTCATATAAGCTTCGACGATAAGAAGTTTGTGATAAAACCGGTGGAGAAGTCCTCACCAAACTTCGTCTTCTTCTCGCAAAAAGTTCGGATGAACAAGCTGGTAAAGAAACAATCAGATGTTGGCTCCTGGGTGAAGGGATTGGTAGCATTAGGGTTGGACGAGCGTAACAGTGAGAAATCTGCACGCGTATTATTTGTTAAGATCCTGGACCTGTGTATTGGAAACCACGATCTGTTCATGCGGCGACGTAAGCCAGACTCTATGGAGGTGCAGCAAATGAAAGCGCAGGCCAAGGAAGAAAAGTCTAGGTAAATTCCCGAGTTAATAACGCATTACAATCTTAATCAAAATCGTGGAATATTTCTATGTCAGAATTACTAGTTTCTGGTGAGTGGATAACCTCACGTGCGACTGTAGGCATGCATGTTGATCCTTTATTTAACCAAATATACCTGCACTTTTTAGCATTAAAACTAATGGTAAGAGCACAAGGCACTTAGGCTGTCGTCTGTGCAATACATACGCTTGGATTAATCAGGAAAATAATAAAATAAATATTGCTCTAATCAATAGGGTTTGTATAGAATTTGGATGCCACTGAATTATAACATTGTACCCTGTTTGCTATTTGATAATAGTCATCGCATGATTATGTTATTGAAAATAATTGTAAATGATTTTTCTATGTTAGAAGGCAGATTGAAAGAAATAAACTAGCACGGGAGAAGCAATTGCGAGAAGCGGCAGAAAGAGAAAAGGCCGCAATGGAACAGCGATTGTTACAATATCAAGAGGAGATTCGACTGGCAAACGAAGCTCTTGTAAGATTAAAAATATCATAAACTGTAAATAGTACAAGCTATAATATATTCCGTTTGTTGCAGAGGAGATCTGAGGAGACTGCAGATCTTCTAGCAGAGAAAAGTCGCGTTGCCGAGGAAGAGGCAATGCTCTTGAGTCAGAAAGCTTCCGAGGCCGAACAAGAAATCACCCGGATCAGGTTGAACAACATGAAAACGGAAGAGGAGAAGGTTCACTTGGAGCGGAAAACAAGAGAGGCCGAACTACTCACCGAGAGACTAGTCCAAGAATCAGAACGAAGAGCCGCCGAGGCTGAGAAGTTGAAAGATGAATTGCTTCGGGCTCGAATTGCAGAGAAAGAAGCCAAGGAGAAGCTACTTGAATTCTTAAGCAGAAACGCTTACAGTGCTGCCATAACCGTGAGTCGATACTCGATACTGCTTTAAAGACCAACAAGTTTTAATTGCATCCTTTTATTTTCAATGAACGTGTGTTTTTCCAGCCCGTACCGAATTTATTCCCTTCGACGCAAGTACTTCCTTCGGAGTTACAAGCCGACCTGCAGACTCTACATCTGGATGCCGAACCACTGCCTAACGATCTGACGTCGTACGACCTCATTGCCGATGGGGACGTCGATCAGCTGTCGCTAGAGATCGAAAAGGAAAGGGTTGACTATTGGGAGAAGAGCAAACACCTTCAGGAACAGCTACGAGAATTACGATCTGAGATAGAAGTGATGAAAGTCGGAGAGAAGCAATGTGAGCTTGATCAGCTCCACGAGGAACAGGTGCGACTTGGTGAGAACAAGTACAGTACACTTAAGAAAGTCAAGTCTGGTTCGACAAAAGCCAGAGTCGCCTTCTTTGAGGAACTTTGAACATTTTGCAACGTGAAAGCATCATAAATGGAAATGTAAGGGCGCATTGAGGTATGAGAATTGACAGGACCGAAGAATTTGCACGAACGAACAAAATACGCGGTTCTTTTTTTATGAAGTATATTCACAAACTATTGTATTCTTAAAGGGATTCGTGCGTGACGTTAGTCAATGCTTCGAATGTTGCTGAAAAACGGTGCGAAAATGTTACTTCATTGCGCATATCTTTCGCATACAATACTATGCAAATGACTGACAAAGTCGCGATGTCGCGAATTTTTTTTACAAAAATCTCTGAACTTTACATATGCCTTTCTTACTTGATCAATAATTATCACACGTATACGTACATTGAAGTCAGATGTATATACACAGTTGTAATTCCAAATACCACCTTCATCTTGACAGAATTTGCTCGATGTGCAACCGCCAATCTGCGTTTCCCTGCGTACCGTATATACGAACGACCCTATATTCATAGAACGTAGGAATGCGCGTTTTTAATAAGAAATTTAGTGCAGAAATATTGTGCCTTGTATTTTGACACATCTTTATTGAGAATTGAATGTTTGAATATTTTGTTATCAGGAGTTTGACGTAGTACGAACAAGTTTAATAGTAATTCTACTGATTTTTATCTGGATTATATATTTTAAAAACGCTAAGATTCGATGACGAATCAATAAAAGTATAGCTGAATGTTTTGCTATTGAATGTAAGTCTCATTTCAAAAAGAATTGGATTAACTGTATGACGTAACTTATTTTCGTAAAACTGTCAAAAATTGCATGCAAAATTAATTTTTCCATATGTCTCACGATATCCCATAGAAACAGTATGCTTCACTTAGCTTTTAGAAATGCTGCTTTAACAGATGTAGATTTTATTAACGTATACAATGACGAGCATTATCAGTAAGTTTTGTCGGCAGCAATAGTTCTTTTGGACTGAAAGTACGAATCTTACGGGCGCTACAACATCATAGGACCATACGTATATTTCTTATATAAAAATGTATTTATATGCATAATCAAACCAAATGAAAATTGACTAATCAAGGTTTCTCACTTGTACCATTATACTTTGCGTTTTTCATACCACAAGAACTATGGCTTTCAGTGATTAGCAAAAAACTTAATGATACATTTTACCCGTATGTATATTATTATATGAAACATCATTGGTCGATACAGACGTATGCATCATCTCTATGTACAATTAAGTGCCTTACTGTAACTAGATATTGAGTACTGGGCGATTTAGTAAAAATGTTCATCTTAAAATGTCATCCGGTGAACAATTGATACCTATTGCTAAGAAAAAATATCCTGGTGTTATTAATGTCTTTATTACGCACGATCTTTATTGGATCATTTATGCTCTTAAGATAATTGATTTTAAACAAGCCGATGAGTACAGAGCATGTCACTCGATTATTATTGTTATCGCAAGCACGTGAATATATTGTGAAAAAAAAAGAAATTGTCAAGCATTAGATGCAAATTGAAGCTTCATTGATCTTGCAATGTAAAACTTTCTCTCGTTTCATTTAATTTAATACTTATGTCCAGTATTATGGAATCGATGTAACGGCGATACGATTAAGCTAGCAAGAGAAATTCGTATATATATATATTTACATTCGCGGTCCTTATTTGAATTTATCTGTGAAATGTCAAATCAAAGATACGTATGAATGCCTGAATTAGATGTGAACAGTGTACACTGAGGCTTGTTTTTTTCAACGCGGTTTAATGCATAAACTCCCGTTCATCTTCGAAGTACAAGTTACTGATTGGCTAACAGCCCAGTAAAAACGAGTTTATGCATTGAACCACGTTCAAGAAAACGGGCGCAAGAGATTTACGATACGGCTCAAAGTATATCATAATACTATATATGTATATTGTTAATAAGGCAACTATTTTAATTGTTGAAGAACATATACCTTTGTAATAAAATACATCTTATGGTTCCAATGAGTATGCACGCGCAGTGTTAACCCTTTCATCGCAGGTGTCATTCTACATCGAATCAAGATTATTTTGTTTAAATTTAATTTGTCACACATCCTTCAGGATGTAAATTTACATAGTGTACCAAGAAGTATTTTCACTACTCTCAAGATCATCACATAGCTTTTAATAAAGATAAAGTATTTAATTAATATTGAAATTGCCCTACTGGTTTTAAATAATATATAAAAGCTTTCCCGCATTTCTTAATATCCTGTTACAGCAGATTCCATCAATTCACCAAGTTATTAAATCGTGGAAGTAGATAGATAAATAGAAATAAAGAAGTACATGTGTTTTCATTGAAAGAATATTTTAATACATTTTTAGATAGAAAATCAATAAATAACAGTTAAGAAAAATACATTAAGGAATCTTAATACAATTTTCGTACCGTAAATTGAAAGTAATGAGCAACTTATTAGTTATTAAGCGTTATTTCACTAAAACGAAAAATGTCTTTTAACTGTGATATTACACATTTCCTACATTAAAAAATATGTACATTCTTTTACGTTGCATAACTAGTTAATACTTGAATTTTGGACGCAGCTACTTTTTTTAAAAATTTTGGGAAGTTCATTTTTGAATCACAATGATCTATTTATCTGTATCGGGGTTTTAGTTACGGAATAGATTTGGGAATCATTTTTTAAAAAAGGCAGTTATAAAAACAGGAACTGTAGAAATACTAACAATGAGAATGGTATCTGTCAATAAATAACATAAATAACATAAACAATGGAACACTTGGTCATGGCACTTATAAAAATTAAAATAGTCATATTTAATTCTATTAATTATCTGGAATGATGAGATGGGTTGCTGATGATGATCTATTCCTCCTGTGACTGTTCATCCGTACTGTCTAAAGAACTTACACTCTCCTGAAGGTGTTTATCTTGGACTTCTAGATCACTTCTATCTAAGAGCTTATCCAACTCCTCTGGTGTAAATACTATTAAAAAACCAAGAGATATATTTTAATAACTATTGTTACAATAGATAAAACATGTCGAAAATGTCTGAGCTTTGTAATACAAAAATAATAAAAAGCCAGTCCCACGTTGTTTATCAAGATTTGTGAATAGTCAACTGTAACCATTATATAGTATACCAAAGAACAAATGCCGTATCTTCATCTCAAATATCATTACCGTCTTTCTCTGAAGTGACAACTTCATGTTCGCTGGACTCGAGTAGCCGCTTCAATTCCAAAACGGAGTTATAGTCGTTTAAATTGAATTTTGATGCTTCTTTCGAGATGACAATCTTTTCGAGTTTGCGTTTGGCTTCACCGCGTTTAAGGATCCTTTCATCTATTGTTCCTTTAGTGCACAGCTTGTAAACCACTACAGGTCGAGTTTGACCAATGCGGTGACAACGTGCCATTGCTTGTATGTCGACTTGTGGGTTCTGCAATAAAAAGGCTCCTTTTTGATAAAGATAAAAATGTTCTTGAATTCAGTATAAATAATGGTGAATACTAATTCTTACCCAATCGCTGTCGTACATGATAACAGTATCAGCAGCGGCCAGATTTAATCCGACGCCACCAGCTCGCGTGGATATGAGAAATATAAAGACATTTGGATCGGTATTAAACTTTTTAATATTTTCTGCTCTTTTGGTAATTGCCTGAGACCCATCTAATCTCACATAACTATATTGCCTTAAGTCCATATAATCTTCTAGCATATCCAATATCATAGTCCAGGTGGAGAATATAAGTATTTTGTGACCTTGTACTTTGAGCTTAGCAACCATAGCATCCAGCACTAAAAGCTTGCCTGAACATTTTATCAGATTGTCGTCAATCTTTGGTAAACCAGCGTCGTCCAAAGGACAATGAATTAAGTACGGGTGATTAACAACCTTTTTGTACATTACCACTATAAAAGAAAAGTGTCAAAAATATTGGTAAAGCATTACTATAAACGAGGAAAGATTACTATTAAGTGAAAACGTACTTCTGTTTCCAAAATTAATGTTAATTAAAAATTCAGAGTTGCGATTTGTAACGTCCGTGTATTTCTTCCACATAGACAAATTACTTTTCTGAACATTATTACATGACTTCCAGCCAAGCTGGTCCACATCATTCATACTACTATTGTCCTCGCTATATTCTGAGATGCTAGTTGATGAGGATTCACCAGTCATATTGAACTTGTGCGTGACGCACTTCCTCTTCGGCCTTTTTCCGTTGACTTCCGGTATAATAAGATCTTGCTTTTCTATTTTACTCAAAGTCTGTAGATCTCTGTTCAAGATG